TAGCAGAGAAAATACAGTCATTATCGTTATCATAAACACATCAAACGCACACCAATCCTACATGCACATTGTTTTTTTAGCATTAATTCTCCGCACTTTTTTTTCTCATTCGCTGGGTGTGTATGTGTGTTTTTCGTTTGGAAAAAAAAGAGGTAAAATTGAAAATATTTTGATGGCAAGAGGCGCGCTGCCGAGTTCCATTTGTAGTTTTTTTTTTCAATATTCCCAAGTAAATCGAGGGTTTGTTCGCTACAAAAATTCATATTTCAACCAAACCAAACGATTTTTCGGCGGCCATGCGGCTTGAATGTCACCCCCGGATGTGCTGTTTTATAAATAATGAAGTTGAACGATTTCCACTAATATCTGGTGAAACGACAACAATCGACCATCAACCGAATTGAAAAACAAAAAATAGCAGCAGCAATGAAAATGCATAGCCACTGTCACGATGCTGCTGTTGGCCGCTCGCGCGGATATAAATATGCACATCCAGTGGCATCAAAAACACACACACACACACACATTCACTCGTTCTCTACTCTGACTGAACTCATACCCTAGTTAATAGTGACATTGATATCGTCGCCAAACAACCAATAAATTGTTTTTGCCTGTTTGTATGTGTGGTTTTCGACTCATAGCACTTTTGTTGCTAAATGGTTCCGGTGAATGAAAATTGCCTCCATTCATTTGAACTAGTTATTTCGAAGCAAACCGATTTTTTTGAAATTTTCATCGATTTTCACCGATTCTCACTCGGCACTGCATTAGCCCACGTTCCATGATAATGAAAACATTTGCTTTTTTGTCGGCAGGAGAAACGAAAGCAAACAAGAATTTTCCGAAACTCATTCAAATTTCAAGTGAAGCTCATTCAAAGTCATGTTACTTCATTAAAAATTGTCGTGCGAAAAAAAAACGCCGTTTTTTTCGGTTGATCTCAAATCGGAAAAAAACTCTGTTGGCATTTGTCCTGCTGAGTGAAATGAAAAACGGCTTTTGTTTCGAACGTGATGTTGATGATGGTTCCATTAATTTGCATTCATCAGATTGCTTTTTTTGTGTCATGTGTCATAAATGTCGGCATTATATGTTTCGATCGAGATGACTCGTTGAATTCGACTAGAGATTCTTTTTTGAACACGTTTTTTTCCCTCAAAAACAATTGAGCTTGGTCAATTTTGTGCCAAAATTTTCGGAGAAACTCCATCAACGAAAAATTGAAATTGTTTTCCATTGAACGAAATTCGAACAAAAATTAAACACGAACACGAACTCCCTGAGAGAAATTCAAAACGCTGGAAAATCATTTCGAACAGAATAATCTTCAAGTCAAATCGAAACCAATCATTTACCGTCTAGTTCATTTAAAATTGTGCAGTTATTCAATCGGAAAATATGTGCACAAATCGATAATATTGCAAATCAGAGATTACTCCACTTTCGATGAATTCAGGATGGTTTTACATATCAATTGAATGTGGCATTGTTGTTTTTCGCCTTGAAAATGTGAACTTCAATTTGAAAATTCATGTGCATGAGTGACGTAGTTGTCGTCGTCGTCGTCGTCGTCGGGGCATATGGTCTGTCGGTTGGGCAAGAGGTGTGAGTCTCGATGCGGAGTCATTTACATGTTCATTGGATAGTCATGGCGAATGTGATGATCTCGACCGCCTGTCATTGACAGTCAAATCATAATGTTGCTAATAACGACTCCGACGAACGCATTGTGTACATCAGCCGTCAGCCGATTTGAATATGTAATTTGCTGCTAATCCACTCACCCTCGCAGCATCAACGACACGAGCGTTGATATCTCAATAGCACAAGCGAGCGATTCGCTGTAGAAAACAATTGCCGTTGAATTCCATCAAAAATTCTTAATTTAATCGAACGAAATATCCTTGACGACCGTGGAACTGGAGCTAAAATTACGTGTCTGGTACAAAGTCTGAACCAAGTCATCTGTTCACAATGACGAATTAATCGCACTAATGTCGAGAAATGTGAAAAATATTCCACCAGGGAAGTCCCAAATATTTAACAAACTATTTCACAACGATCACCAATTGAACTTGAATACAAAATGCCAAATGTAACTTTTAAAACGGCGAACTAAGAGCTTTCCCAAGAAAATCGTTTGATTAAAAAGATAATTGAGAAAAAAAAATCACTTACCTCGACCGCTACGGCCAACAAATCGAAGATCATTGAATTTGGCTACTTGATTTTTCATCACTGCTGTACAATTTCGGAGCTCTCCACACCAATTGTCATCATTTCCGGCGCGTATAGTGCATATAGTGCCATCACCGACATCAGACAACGCCACCACTTTGAACGCAACCGGCAGCGTTTTATTGGAACGCCAATGATTTGGCAGAGCCGAGCACAAAATATATGGGCTACCAGTACGAACTGCAATCAATTTCAATATTTGATAATAATAATAATGAGAGAGAAAAAGAAGTAAGCTAAATTATCACGTCTGACACGGTGCACATTGCAAGTGCGTGCGAATGCAAATGTTCTTTGGAATATCGAAAGGTGAACACCAGCCGATTGAACATGATGATGGTACAAGCAAATGATAATTTTCTGCACAACACATATCAAGTAACCGAAACTCGAGCACGGCAACGTGACTACCCGAAAAATGGCAATCAAGCAGAAGAAATCTCCGATTTTTTTTTCTCAACTTCAAAATAATTTTTATTGGTGTTTTTCTTTCGGGATAAAAAAAAACTTGTAAAAAAGTGCAGAAATTGATACTGTGCACACTTGATGTGTCGATGTGTTCGTTTTTTGCAGGCGAAAAGGAAAAGTCCATCTTTCATGGACATCAAGAGTATTGCATTACAATGAAGCTGCTTGGGTTTTTTTTTCTCCGTTGTGTAATTTAACTGAAACATTCCCATCAATAAAATCTAACGGAAATATTCACTGCCCTTCTTTTTTCGTCACTGCCCTTGTCTTTCTCACAACGAAAACAAAACATCCGATAACTTTGATTACAGAATGAGAAGAAAAGAATGAAAAAAAAAATCAAGTGCAAGGCGTTTAATTCAAAATTTACATCGGATGTGGTTTTGATTTTAAAGAACGTTTTCAAGCGTCCTGGCTTCAGAACAGGAAACCTCCTTTTTGGAATTGGTCAATGTGAACGAATATTTAAGTGAAGTTACCTAATTCGCCTGGGAATTCTTGTTGAGCTTCGAGTACAAGACGTTCGGTCCACCAGAGATCTTGTGACGATGTGGCCGATCCCAGTGGTGACGTTGTTCCCGAGGCCGACGAATGCTGTTGCGAATCCAGAATGGCGCTGGCCGATTTGCTGCTTTGTGTTATGTTGGAATTCCAGTCGGCTTGCGGTGGTGAACTGGGCAAGTGGTGATAAACTGCCGTTGGACCCGTTGGCAGATGCATTTGGAATGTATTTTTCGGAGCTATTTTGACGAATTTCCACTCCAGTCGGATGTCAACTTATTTTTAATCGAAGATTGTCTTTTTTTAAACGTCTTAACTCACGTTGCTACTTTTTAAACCAAAATCGATTCCAATGTTTTTCTTTTTTCCAGTGAAAAAACAATTTTCCGATTAAAAAATCGTTCAATTCAATCAAATCAAGTTCGATGGTCATCAATTTCAGAGTTTCCACGACATTAAACGTTGAAGAGAAAAAACGGTGGGAAAATTTTTGTGCATGTCAATTTCAAGGTAGTAATTCGTTGCGCAGCGATGATTTTAAATGCACTTTATTTATTCAACAACAATACTGTTTCCCCCGTTCTCTCCGCTTTCCGATTTCTTTAGAAAAAAAAAATGTATGATTGATTTTCTGTTCTGATTTATACGGCACAACGGTTGCAATATTTGCGCTCGATTTAATTCTCTCTTTCTCGTTTATTTGTTTGTTGTTCTGTTGTTTTTAAGATGCGATTTAATTAACTGGCGACGCCGCTGATGACAAGTATTGTTCCTTGGAATTGGGCAAACTAATTCATCGACGTTTACGTAATGTTATGAATAAATGTTGTTTGCTGAGTTTAACCTTTTGTAAAACTACAGGAATTCAATTGATTGACTGCGTCAAAGTGGGATCGAATGCACAGTGCACACACACATTTGGAATTTTTCACGTCAAAAATTTTTTATTTTGAATTTTATGTGCAAGTTCAACTGAAATAGTTTTTGAGCGATTTTTTTCTTTCTCGTTTCGGTTTTATGTAATGTTCAAGAAATAAAATACACAAAGAGCACACGTACGGGTTTCGGTTTGATCACACAACAGTTGCACTAGTGTGTCAATAGTGTTTGGCACCTCATTCGTAAAATATTCGTTCAGTTTATTGCGTGCGGCTAAAACTTGTCACACTGATTCATCATCATATTTCTGGCGAATTTATGTCCAATTGAATGCGTGGATTTGTCCACAAACACAATCCATTCAACTGAATCAAATGAGACAACACAAATTATTAAATGAAAGCTTCACGTAGCACTCACATCAAAAAAAAAAAAATTTGAATGTAGAAAGAAATGCGATTAAAATCATTCAAAGACACAAACTCTTTCGGCATGGATAAAATCTTTGCACAATATTGTTTTGCTGGACTGCAAGATAAATAGAAGCAAATTTAAACGGCGCACATATCGGTTCGGACGAGAGACAAACAATTTTGTTGTTTACATGAAGTGTTCACAACATCGACTAAACGCAAATAAACACTTGATTCGGTTTCGAGCAGTGGTTTCAGTGCTTTGTGTATGCTTGTGTTTCGACCGCTCGCTCACTCTCTCACTCTCTGTGCTGTGTGCTTTGCTTCGCTTTGTTGTGCATTCCTTCTCTGTCGCATTCGTTGGTGTTGTGTGTGGCATATTCGATATCGCTATCTATATATTCCATGTATGGGATCAAGCGATGTGTGTGCGTATGGCTATTGTGTGTTTTCAGTGAAAAAAACTTTTCACTCATTGTGCTTTGCCGTAGTGGCTGCGGGTGTTGATATGTTCGTGTGTTTCGCGTCACTGCTTTTACATGTGTTCGATCACGCAATTCGATTCGTTGTTCACATTTTGGCTACCGATATCGCTCGCACACATCCATATGTGTGTCCGAATGCGTAATTACTCGTTTTTGCTACACGGATAAAACACTCAAGTGTGTATAAGTTACTTAACACTAACTTTGATCGAGACGCGCTCCTGCGTCGACGACTTGAATTTTGTTGGACGTACGTATATTGCCGTAAAGTTGCAAAAGACGTAAAAAAACCCAAACGTATTACCCTCTGACTCAATTTTTATTTCGTCGACTCAATGGAAAAAGATCATCTAATTTTAAATACATTCAACCGACTTGGAATAGTCACAATATTTTTTTTTCCAGTCCCCATTACGATTTGGAATAGTTGACATTGAATTGTTTTTTTTTTAACTCACTCTTGTTTACGTTGATTGACGGTAAATACGCGTCACGCAAAAGTCTTTCCAACTTGAATCACACATACCTTTTTCCCTTAATCTTGAGAAAACCCGAACCAATTGTGCCGTCATCTTAGAAAATTTCAAACATAAACCGCTTTCATTGTTAATTGCACTTCATTTTGGCTTTAGGTCATATCCAATAACACGTTTTTCACCCGCAAGTCATATATGACATTTAACGCCTACCAATTGATGAGTAATTTCATTAATAGCGATAATTTTATGCATTCTAATGCATTGTAAGTCATTTGCAATTGATGAGTATCAGATTGCATATTGGAAGAGAGTCCATGTTTTCAATTGGCATTTTGTTGACCCGTGGTCAATTGAGTTGACTTAATTTTGCAATAAATTTGAGAAAAAAAGATTGTTGATTAGCATATCCAGGGTAAATTACCAGCGTAAAAACGGGAAAAGTACCTTTTCAAAGAGCTGCATCGGTGATTTTTGATCAGTGATTCAAAGGCGCGTGTGCTCGATTGATAAAATGATGAGACGATCTGAAAAAAAAATTACAACTTTTTTTCCCATTTCAGTAAACACTTTCTTCACAACAAAGCGTCATGCAAATCATGTAACTTCACCTTCGTCATAGAATCTGCACGTTAAATGTATAGTAAAGATAAACAAAAAGGCAATAAAAATCGTCTGTAAACAAACGATTCGGTCAATTTATTTTTGATTGTCTCTCTAACCGATGAGATAAGATTCCCGAAAAAAAAGAGTCATCTTTGGAGGTTATTTTTGGCTGGGAAATCCGTAGGAAATCGAAAAAGAAGTTTAGAACGTGTCCAATTAAAGTGTAATGTGTTGATGATCCAGAAGACGACCGCATGCATTAATTGTGGCGACAGAACAAGTTTACTGATTAAGCAAATCTATCATCGGTAAAGAACCGTATTCCTGATTTTTACCCCTCTCGCGCCGTCAAACCAACTAAGCACTGTCTGTCCTTTATTCAATAACATTTAAACGCCATTCGGTTATCAAAACAGATGATTCGAGTGAGTTCTCTTATCACATTTTCGTTTTCTCCTTTCATATTTTAGTTTTCTGGAATAAATTTGGATTTTTAAAAGTATTAAACCGTTGTTTATCGTTGAAATACCACCATTTTCGTTAAATAGATTCACTAGATCAAGTCCCCATAAAAAGCATTTAACCATAAAAGCCACGTGACTCTGTTTACGATTCCAAAAACAATGGGCAATAATAGTTCGAATTGAACGCAACAATAAAATAAATTCAAGAAATTCGGAGAATTCACCATTCATAGTGTCATAGATAGAGAGACAGAGAAATCGATGGTGATGAGAGTGTGCCATTGACGGTGGTCCTGTGTGTGGGAGAGTGAACGAGGCAGAGCCAGTGTTTGTCGTTGAAAATGTGCAACTGTGCTTAGTGTATGGTATTTACATACATTGTACGTTTTTGTGTGTGCCGACTGCGGTTTAAGTTATATTTCACAGATTCTAAGTGAATTAGGAACCGCATCGAGCCTCAAAACAGTTAGTGGTTTTTTGGGTTGTGGCCAACGATCGTGTGTTTGTGTGTGTGTGTGTGTGTACATTTTATTTATTATTTAGTTTTAATTGAGTTGACATTATAAATGGTTCAATCGTAACGGGAGTTAATTGTATATTTTACGAGAACTGCAGTTGACGCTCATTAATTGTTGCTGTTTTTTTTCCGGGTTGCGACACAATGTCAATGTGTTACTGGCGCATTTTTCGAGGTTGTGTTCGGTATTTTCGGATGAAATTCTAGTTTCTCTTATCATTTCAGAATGGAAAGAGTGGATTTACTTCCGATAATATGTTGTCTGAAACGCGGACCAATTTAAGGCATCTAAATTACGTTCGTTGTGCTTGTGGTTTCTTCAAAGTATTGAAGAAAAACGCACACTTCTGCTGTTTTTCTAACAAAAAACCCTTAAAATTATGTTTGTAAAAGGGTTTTAAATGCCGTGTGTCTCCTTATAGCATGACACCTATTCGAATTTTCTTACGGTAAAACTTCAGATGTCAACGAAATCGGAAACTTAATTCATGAACGATGCCGCGAGCCAAGCCTATTGCAGTTGATACATATCCATAGTTAGGTGCACAATGAATAACATCGTCTTTTGGCATGCGCTCATCCATTGTGAACCATTCACGATAGACACGAAACGAAACGAAACGAAACGTAAACACATTGGCGTGGCCACGCCTTTTGCGCGTATTTGTTTATTCTCTGCTTCGAGCTATTTTTGAACAACAGATGCTGCACTTTGTTCACCAAAAACCAATGTGCTTTTGTGTATTCAGTTGAAATGAAAGAGACTTGATGAGAATGAATTGAATTGAAGGAGTAATTTGTTGAACGGAGAACAAAACAAAGAAAGAAACATGTCGACTATAGTTTCTATTTTATAAAGTATCTCTCTCTTCTTGTAATGAACTTGTTTTACTTGGCTAAAATTAGATCATTATTCATAATTGGAAATTCTTTTTTGCTACATCTTTCCATGCGAATGATTTGTCTGTGTGTTGCAACAAGTGTTGAAAAAGGGATTGAGTATTGCGAAGCGCCGCCCTCTGAAAATCTACTTGAATATGCCAATTAAATGCACTTTTCAAAGCATTTTCTGTTATTTTTTTGGAACCGTCAGCTCCGCCTCATTACTCAAGCAATATACATAATCGATTCGCTCTGAATGTTTCTTTTTTCGTATTTCGTACACCGTTTAATCATTCGTTGGAGCGGCCAGCAAAAACAACGAAAAAATAGCTTATTGTGGTTTTTCCTTTAATAGAGAGTTGGCCTTTTAATCTGTTTTTCTCTCTCTCCCTCTCTTTCTCTTCATTCAGCAGTTTGTGCACACTTTTTTCACCGGTGCTTTCTTAATTCCATTGAATATTCATGTTCATTATTCCGTCTAGCATTTATGTTACTAAAGAGAAAATGACCAAAGAACATAAGTAGAACATAAATTGAAAAAAAAAAAAGTTACGAAAGGGAAACACTCTACTTGCAAATATCAAACAGAATACGAAAAAACTTGATAATCAGATCGGAATTTATAAGCAGATGACGCAAATGAAGGGAAAAAAACTATACGCGAAAAAAAAGAAATTCATTGCGAGGAAAATTGGTGGCTGCTTCAGATTTTTGAACATTAAACACGTGCCATTCGATCGTGAGCTTATTATCGATGGGTTAAACATCGATGCATTTGAGTGATAACCACAAAACAGGGCTTTGTTCTCATTGAAGTTCCATTCGATAGACGGACATTGAACCCATGCTGATTGAAGAAAATGGAACGTAAATATGAAAAAATGGGATTTTTTTCGGAAGTGACGGTGAATATGTACTGTAATTCTGAAAAATAAAGTAATCATCAGGTGCAATATATCATGAACAACGCTGTGAAGCACAATGTTATTATATTCAACAGATCCAAAACCTTTAAGAGTTCTGTTTATCCCTATCGGAAGTTCGCTAACATGAATCATGAATGACGTTTGAAATGCCATTTTTGACAAATACCATTTCCAATATTTGGGTAAACCTTGTCACGAAATCATTTAATCAAATTTCCAAACTCTACCGTATAGATGCAACTAGAGCATCATTTGCTGAATATCTTCCATTTACGATTCATGTTGTTGATCATGAAGTTCTTCAATCACTTCTACACACCTAAATATGACATTTTAAAATTAATGTATGATGTTAATAAATCGTCAAACAATTGACATCTGACGGTCGTTTAATGACTAATGTAACTAGAAAGTAGTGATACTTTTCGTTCGTTTATTGCTAGATGTAAATTAACTCGCGTATAAGTGTCATCGGCAACTAGTTTACATATTCCATATTTTGGTGTGTAGATACCATGAGAAATCAGTTATTTGATAACTTGAATGATTACGTTTCCAGCATAATAAAGCAATTTTTTTTTCAATTTTTAGCTCATTAAAGTGGAAGTAAGTCAAGTTTTTTTTAAATATGTATAAAAAAATTGAAATTTTTCTCTGCAATAGCCAGTCTATAGCTGATGGCATGAAAACATCAAAAGTTTTGTAGGGCAGAGTTAACGTATGTAATATTTATGTAGTAGTCCATCCACATCGAAAACAGGGAAGAACGTATATAAAACACGAAAAGCGTACCATCAACTCAGCAGGGTGAGTACGAGCTTTATTCAAGCTTTGAAAGATGCTCCACTGATGAAGTTTGTACTAAAAATTTCATTTGCAATATTGTTGTTATGAGCAAGGAGGACTCTTGGAGGTATCGCACACATACACAAATTTCCAAGTGGAGCAGACAATTTTCCAAAGTATATGAAAGTACGATGCATGGTGCGTATGTATTGAAAATGATCAGCTGATAATATGACTCATTACAAAAATTCATACAGTAAATTCTTGAACGTACACTCAACTCAATCAAAACAAGATTTATAAGGGAAATGACGCTCTTCTTTGCGTTCAAGAAACAATTCGACCCCTTCAATTGCATATGAATACTCCATAGAGTATCCACACTCTTGATTACTGAGTAAAATGTTGATAGTATTTCTAAAGAAGAATATGATTTACCTTCTGACTAGCGTTCTGAATGAACTTTAACGCTGTCCTGAATAAGATTTAAGTGGAGCGTCGAATCGAAGAAAAAAATGTTTCAACTTACTAGTATCCACATCTTACAGTAATATCGTTAATTGCTAACTAATCAAAGAGCAAAAACGGAAAATTTTTATTATTTGGATTTTATTTAATCTTTTCGATTATTTTTCCATTGGATTTTAATATAATTTATATAATTAATGGCATAAAAATTCGTTGACATTAGAATAAAAGATTCATACGATATTTAATAACTTATAAAATACAGAGATAAATTACAGTCAACAACAAAGTTATTGAAACCACAAATGGTTTTTGTCATAGAAGTTTTATCACACATATCGACCATTTTGTTCGCCGACCTTCGAACTTGGAAGCAACGAGCACTCAATACGAGCACAATGACACTCCCACGATAGGGTGTCGAATGTCCATTTCATTCATACGATTATTGTTACAGATGAGATAAGTCTCTAGTCTCTAGCAGTCCATGCTTCATGCATCAGATTCGTTATGCGATGGAACTAAAACCCATCCATCTTCGTTGGCCACATTGGTGCTTGTATTACTGTTCTGCCTATTGAATGATGCCTGAGATGAGTTTGACGCTGGCGGAGCGGGAACATTGACCGGTGGAGGTCTCGAATTCATTCTGATCAGTTCAAGTTGTCGTTTGAGATTTGCTTGGAATTTCAAGAGTTCCTCCTGCAAGTAAATATTCGCTTGAATAAAACAAAAACACGAAGAAATTCTTTGATTAACTCACCTTTTCCATTAGTTTATTGCAAATATCCAGTCGTTCTTGCCGTTCCTTGGGTTCCATCCGCGAGAGTATCTCATCTCGATGTTTGGTAACATAGGCTATTTCAGTGTGAATCTGAATAAGAAATTTTTTTTAAAAAAATTTAAAAGTGATTGAAAAGGTGATAAATTAGATTTTAAATAAGATGGCTCGTCACACCAACCCACTATGAGGAAAAATCTTCATAATTTAAAAAAAAATAGGTTCATTTGGTACCTTCAAATATTCCTTGGCAAGTTGTTTATGCTCTTCAAATATTTGCTTAGACAGTTCACTATTTGGGTCGGGCGGTGCAGGTCTTAAATGTGGCTCGAGCATCAGATGAACATGAGCATCTAAGTCATCCTCATCGACTGTGGCATTCGCTCCCATTTTCTTCTGTTCGCCACTACCATTGAAGTTCTCTCTTGGTGGGGGCTTTTTTGAGTTTCTAAATGTCGTTGGATTTGCTGTATTGATTACATTACCGATGAGAGTACGCGTGTTGCTTGAAGACGATGCAATTGCACTCGATCTGGTATCAGTAGCTGTCAATCTCTCATTGGTTTGGCTATTGGCTGCAATTCGATAGGAAAAATATACAATTTTAATTCCAATGCATCAATTCGACTTGAAATCAATTAACGTGAAAAAAAATCGTACAATAAACAATCCAACAGTATCTCATTCGGCTTTGATTTGAAACCATTGTAGTAATCGACCCGTCACACATATTATTTTTTTTCCTTTCCCATTCGCTGAACTAGATTTTCATATGAAATAGTATTAATCTCGTTGATTATTCATAACAGTCACAATTTCTCTCAAATGCTCTCCCAATTCGAGCGATTATTGCAAAAATTATTGCAGCACAATGTAAATTTTAATAACAAAACCGAGTGATGGGGGGAAAAAAGAGTACGATAGCTAAGTGGCACTTAGTTGAGAAGAGAGAGCGCAACAAATCTTTCAAAGCGTGTTGATCTATATATTTTCTCTTTCGCCACCGATCAAATACATCAATCTGAGCGATGATTTGGCAACATGTGTAACAATCTGATTTAGACGACTAAAACATTGGCAGACAACGGCAGAGCAGCAGCAACAGTGGCAGGAGTAACGGTTGCGCGAAACGATACATTTTCACATCGTGAACAAAACGGAATTAACTGTAATTGCTCGCGCACCAATTATAATAGTTCTATTTGCTTTTAAATGTGTATAACGCCAATGGATGAGTCATTCCAATCCGTTCAGTAGAGAAATAGCAAACGTTACGAATCGCTTTTCTATTTACAATTTATATTTTTCATCATCAATTAGCATTTTACTTGAACAGATTTTCGTTCCTTTCGCTCGCTCCCTCTCTCTCTCTCTCTCTTTCTTTTTGCGTATGTGTGTATACGAAAGTCACATTCACTGTCATTAACACGAATAACATGCGAAAAAACTGGTGGTTTTCTTGAAATATACCAGACCCCTTTTAACCCAAACAAATCGGTCGAGTGTTAAGTAATAAAGAATCACTTGCGTAAACCGTGGAACACAAACTATATTCGCGTTCAACAGTTTGGTGCTGAATTGTCGTGACTTTTTCAAGGTATTTTTCGATTAATTTTTCGTTTTCTTTGGGAGATTTTTACAGTTTTTCTTTATTTTCGAATGTGTTTCACAAGAAATATTAAATGAAATTCTAATATTTCTGAAGTTTATAAATATTTCAATCACATCTCAATATTTGCTCAGTCAACACATCACAAATCGCGTTTATTTGAATATTAAGGATTTTTTTTTCACGGCCAAAATGTGTAATTTATGATTTCACTTGAATTATTAAAGCATACTTCATCAACCACTTTCAATGGCACAAATATTTAATATTCAACGTATTACAAATCACTGAGGGCACAGTATTTGAAATCAAAATATTTTTCAAAGGAAAACATGAGGAAAATTCATGAAAAAAACTGTCACTGTTTTATCGCTAGTTTACGATTAAAATCAATTCGACGTTCTGAACGCTATGCGAACGAAAAAAAAAGTCTACACCAACGATGCACTGAATCATCACTGATTGCGAGATCGTATTCGTTCATACAAAGTTCACAAAATCTGTTCACGTTGTTGCGACAGAGCACGCTGCACACTCACTGAAATGCGATTCGACTTTGAAAACGATCGACGTCTATCGCGAGAAGCAGAGTTTGAAATTTGTGAGCGAAGGCGATGAGTCACTCGCGGTCGCTCACACATATGTTTATTTTTCTTCTTTCTTTCGTAAGAAAAAAGAAGAAAAACACTGACGATTCTCCGCAGGAAAAGCCTCTCGTTACTCGTGTATTTATTTGTTCAAGTCTCGGATGAGAGAAGGAAAAGAAAGAAAACGAAATCCGAATGCGGTGCGCGATGCAAATGTAAATAAACAAAATAGAAAAACTCAACGACGCAATAGAAATATAATTTAAATCCACTTGCGAATGGAAATTTTTCCACCAAACACCATACGAAACGAAATGGATGGCTATGTTTATACGGTGTTGTCTCTTTTTAATATCATGTGTACGAAACATTGACTAATTATCATGATGAAAATATTATGCAGTGCCTGGCGTACAGCGAATGTATCTGGTGTGCGACAAACACAAAACGAACTAAAACGAAAATAACAACAACGTTAATGTCGAGGCAAACGCTTATGCGAATTAAATTATTGTTACGTGTCTACGAATACTCTCGCTGTCGCTGTCTCTCTCTCTCTCTATCTTTCCTTTGCACTCGCATTCGATGCGTAAATTCGTGCCCAACACACAAATCGAATCGACTGTGGCCGAAAAGGAAATTCGAATATGCGTATAAATTTAGTAAGCGGTGGCTATTTTCATCGTAATTTGATGTTTATTTTAGGTTCACATCATTAAAAACACATTGAATCGCTGAATATTTTCTTTTACAAGAACCGTTTTTTTTCTACTTCTTCTTCTCACACATTTTTTTCCCTTCGCGGCGGCCGCTGAATCATACACAGCACGAGATGCTGCTGTTTATTGGACGAGAGAATACGATACTCGCATATTTTCATGTGCAGTGTGGCGAAACGTAATCACTTGCGCAGAAAGGAGCAGAGCGAGAGAGAGAGAGCGAAAGTGAAAACAATGATCGCCTCACCAACAATTGCATTATCTCGTCAGTTGCAACGCCTAAATGCAGAGCTCTCGATCTTTTGGTTGCAATGCATTTGAACGCATTTTATTTGAGTTGTGACGCGTCGACTAATTTGCCAAATGGCACACCAAAAAAAAAAACGTCGATTTCGAATACATTTCGAGAGAATAGAGAAACATTGGTCGTACATAGTTGTTTTTGTTGTTGTTCAGTTTGTTCGGTACTAAAATAACAGTAGCACACATCTGAGAAATGTATGCGTTATTTTTGAACGGATGAATCATCCGAAAATAACAACAACATCTGTATATAACCACACACTAGCCGGCTTCAGTCAGAAATTTACGAGCTCCACTTTTTCTTTCGCTCCGTCTCTCGATAGCAATGGCAGCGGAAATTTTTTTTTCATCACCTCAAAATACTGAAATGGGTAAAATGAGTCGACTCCCAATCTCTTTCGCTTGCTGATTAAACACAGACACCGCATACTTTTTTCCGACGAATTCTATCGCCTACTTTTGCGCCACAATATTTTTTATTTATGTACCACCCAGAATAAACACGATTTCCAGGAAGTGAACGCTTGACGGGAATACACATTTGGTGTAGTTCACATGTTTTTCAATGAAGACGCCAGATACATCATTTCAACTCTCTCACCAGTCTTCAGTGATAACAATGAAATGGCTGATAACATATCAAAACTAAACACTCACTTTGATTCAATGTGAAAACATGGCAAAACATGATTGCATCTCTGTCTCAGCTGATTTTTTTTTGCGGTCAATGATGATGATGTACGGAAATTTAGCTGCTTCTTTTTTGCCTTTTGATCAGTTTTTTATTTTGGATGATTTATACTTCTTTTGAATGACCTCTGATTGTGATTATAGTGTTTGAAAATTGAGCAACAAATAAGCCAACAGTTTCTAGGTTTTGGCACACACTTCACGAAGAATTACACATAATCACGAATTATATGGGAAAAACTGTATCGATAAAGCAACAGTTGCAATAATTCCACTCAGTGGAATCCACTGAAGTCCTCGTAATACACTGACTAGTTTATCGATTCTACAAGATTTCTTTTGAAATACAAATAAATCTATTTGAATCCGGTCATAAGTCGAAACAATATAATTCAATAAAATAACAGCCAAGTGAAAAACTTGATCCGAAATGAAGGCTGAAATTGAATCCTTCTTGAGAAATAGATCGATCGTGACTAAATGAAGAAAGTGTAATAAATCCGTGCCTTGGTTTTAAATATGATTCCTCTTGAAAAATCACGAATGATCTCTGTCTGTTTACTCGAGAGAAAAAAAAAACATTCTGTTTTAGAGAACATGTGCTAATTATGGATCAAAAACCATAGAATTTTACAAAAACTACACGTAAAACATCGATTAGGTGGCGAATAAATACGCAGATGTAATTAGCATTTCGATAATTCGGGATCGTGTCTGTTGTTGCTCGGCATTCTCAGAATTCGTTGCGTTCAGTGTATTCAAGTCATTTGCGTATTGATCGAGAAAAAAAAACGAATCGAATAGTTTTGTCTCATTTCGTGTTTTAAAATTCAATTGAATGTCGCAAAAATGTGTGTTTGAACCACGGCTGTCAGACAATTAAGGAAGCAACGGTGAGAAAACCCACGAAATAGTTACAGATGTTCAAAACAGCTGTGCGATTGATGATAAATTTGTGTATTTACGTTCGATTTAATTTTATTGTGTATAGCAAACGGTTTGTTGACGAAGCGGCGAATGCAATGATTTACTTTTGTTTCATCAACATCATTTTATTTGAGTAAATCGCAATCTATTTCATACGTTCACGATTTGTCACATCGCCGTTTATTTGAATGGCGAAAGAGAAAACAAGTGGATAAATCAAGTGAAAAATGCTCAATTCAATCTCGGCCACATGAAAACTTTACTCAGATTTTCTTCTTCTTCTTTGATTTGCTATGCACATCGATCCAAAAAAGAAACAAGTGTTACAAAATTAGACCGAGAGAAGTCGAACGAATCGATGTGAGTCATCGAAAAATAGCTGCGGGAATGAAATGAAATGTGGCTTTCCGCTGTGGTTGTTGTTATTTTGAATGCATATCTTTTCTCGAACGATAATTTAAAATACCGACCAAAAAAACGAAACGGCGCTTTATTTTCGTTCGGTTTCAGCTGTATTTTTTTTTTGCTTCCTCTGTGTGATGAGCCTCATGGCTTTGGTTTGATTGAAAGCATGTGTGACGTTTACGATTAATTTCGACAAGAAAATTAATACATTGAATGCAAAAAATGTATCACACGATGAACCGTTGATGATTGTCTTGAGGTCTGCCGGCCTATTTGTGCCGGTGTGCTATCAAAAGTGAAAAACCTGTTGACGCAATCAATCGAACGTTCACCTTTTGCCAACCGAAACTCACAACACTCAACATGTGAATAAACTTACGATGTTGATTTTCAGCCGCTGATGATGGCAAATCCCATGCATTCCGTTCAGTTTCCAATGTTAATGGAGCCAATGGAATGCCGCCCGAAACCAGTGCACCGTTCAAATAGTTATCATTTTTGATATCACCCGATGCAATGGTACAATTTCGTGAATCGTTGAATCCAATCGATGTATGCGGATGCACAGTTTGCGTTTGTGAAGGCCATAACCTTGAAAATTCTTTGATTGACGATTCAATTTCATCGCGCGATTGAAACGGTTGTACCGGCAAACTGGTCGTTGTCATTACTAAACTGCTTCGATTGGATTGTGTCTGTGATGGTAGCTCATCGGTGTACATCCATGCATTGCTTTGGTTTGTGTCCAAGATATGCTGCTGACTGACCGTGTCATAATTCTAAAAATGGACAATCCAATTAAGACTTGCAACGGAATTTAATCACTTTAACAGCCCACTTACATCTTCTATTTTGCTATAATCTAATGGTTCGTCGGCACCCGGAAAATATTCGCATAAAATGCGCATTATTTCCACTACGTATTCCATCGAAGGTCGTTTTTCGGGCGATGGGTCCCAACAGCTTGTCATCAACTCTTCAATTGGCTTCGGGCATCCCTCTATTAACGGCGGCCGATCACCTTCGAGAGAAATGGAAGAGATAATTAGTTGATGAAATTTTGAAACTAAGTTTGTTCCATACCTTTATGCACACTCCACATTATGCCGAACGCTAATTCGATATTCTTAAACGGTTGCTCACGAGATATCACCTGCCATAAAATTATCCCCCAACTGAATACATCACATTTTTCCGTATATGTTGATCCTTCGAACACCTCTGCAATGCAAAAAGGAATATTTGTTTCAATACGTTCATGTTTTTTTTTTGCTTTCAAAATAATTTTTGTATGAACCGGCCGATTGAATCGGAGCTGATTTTTATTACTCTGTTATAAAAAAAAACAATTTTTATATCAGGATATGAGTGTAATGAAATTCAATTCCCATTTAATTTTATCATTTTGCTTGTCGATGAATGGATTCGAAATTGAATGGATAAATCTATGGAAAGTGAATGCTTTTGCTTCAAAGCAATTCTTTTCGTTAAAACGTTTCAATCAACTTGATTCGACGAGAAAAACAATTCTTTTCCGGAGAAAACGTTTCACATGAAAATCTCACCTGGTGCCATCCAAGCCGCACTGCCCATGTTATTTGTCATTAAAGTTGCTTTATCGGTAACTGTTCCAAAGTCACAAATTTTCAGCACTCTCCCTTGATCGATGAGTAATAGATTTGGTGGTTTTAAGTCTCTATGGATCAGCGGCTTCGGTCGCATCGCGTGTAAATATGAAACACCTTCGGCACATTGTCTGGCCCAACTCATGGCATGTGCTGCTGTGTATGGTATTCGAGGATTGCCGTGCAGTACATTGTACAGTGAACCGCCTTCTGCGTATTCCATCACCAAGCAAACGTGAGGTTTTTTGGTGCAAGCACCGTAAAGAGCCACAATATTTATATGTGATACACGAGATAATTGTCGTAACTGAAAATAGACAAAAAGATATGTTTCTTATTATGTTCCGTTAAGAATTTGAATTTAAGAACGGAAAAGGATTTTTACCTCGATTCTAAACGCATTTCGTTCTGTTTCTGGTTCAATGTACTTAACGGCAACGAAATTGTCTCGCCATTTCGCCTTGTATACTGTTCCGAAGGCTCCCTTTCCAACTACCTGTATTGATTTAAAAAAAAAACAAAGAAGATTTAGATTTTTGGCGAAGGAATTTTACTCAAAATCAAAGATTTACTCGTTTAAGAGGGTCATTAAGGTAATTCGCTCCAAAAAGTGATTAAATCCAAAACTTACCTCAATATGTTTGATTTCCTCATGGTCGATTTCGCCAACAAAAAAGCTACCCGTTGGCTGAATATCACGTCTGTCAGCAGCCATTCGCATTCAATGCAACCAATGTTGCTTCTGAATTTTCTATTTGTTCTCAGCACCAAACGTAACGATTTTCAATTACGTTTTTGTTCTTAGCTAATAAATTAATCGTAGGTTTTTTCGCAAAATTTGCATTTTCAGAAAGTTCAATAAAAAAAAATATAGACAAATGTAATCAGGTATTTACATCTAATGTTGTTGCTACTAACAAAAACCGATTAAAATGCAAATGTAAACACGAAGACAGTAAACGGCACGCATGCACTTAATTGTACGGCAGATTATTCCTTTTTCAATTACATTCAATGATAGCATCGGTTAATTCTCTCCCTTTTTTCGCTATTCCGTTCATAAACAAATTATGTTCACGAGATAATACATTTGCATATGAAAAACCACAACAATTTTTTTTTGCGTAGATGGAAATTCTTTCACAACTAATTGACAACTAGCTGCATTGTATGGTGTGATTCAATGATATTTTCTAGAAAAATTTGGCGCATTGACAGTTGCACGAAACACATAAAAAGAAACAATAAATAAAAAGCAAAAAATTATAACACAAATAAATAAATAATTAAATTTGTTCTTCTTCACTTCAAGCTAATATCATGTTCTCCGTCTGTCACTGAAACTGATGTTTCTCGGCGATTGCTTCGCTTTTGACATATGAACAAAATTTAGCTATTCTACGGTGCTGACATCTAGCAGTCAACTTGGACTTGACTCAATTTGAAATGCTAGAACTTTTTGCGAAAAAAGCATCTACATATTGAGATCGTTAAATGACTAGATTTTATCTTAGTGAGACTTAAGTTGAAATACTACAAAAACAAGGCTGATTTCAAAGCGACAATCTGACTAACCATGGCAAATGATGTCGTAAATTCACTCACAGATAAGATGAAAATTATTTTCACGTTTGATTAAATCAGTTTCGGTACTATCAACAAAAAGATATATGTCCATTGCTCATATATCTGGGCGAAAATAAGTTATTTGTTATTGGTACAATATAAGAATGAGTGACAAAACCATTTCGATCCATCTTACAGGTCGGAATAAAAATTAATTTGTAGTTCATCAAATTATTTTTGTGTTCAATCAAGCTCGCAAGCTCAGCATGTCTCTACGCATGTATAAATGCGTGCTTAAATTACTAAAGATTCTTAGTGGTCTACCATACATAATCACAAATAAAAACATTGTTATAAAATTCATTGTCAGGTGTCTATTTCAACGGCAACTTAAACTCTCTCTTTGACTGCGATTCATCATTTTTTATTTTTTATTTATTTCGGCAAATGTATAAATTATATAGAAAATATCGATACCGACTCTGGTGAGACAGAACACTCTCCCATTTTCAGATATTTGAACTTGACTATCATCAAATCAAATAACTGTGCTATCATCACAAAACAGCATGTCCAAATTCCAGTTTCGAACCAATTTTTAATCTCTTAAGCTGAACAAAACCAGGAAAAACGTCCAATAGAAATGTTCACAATTCTTGGACACGATTTTTTACTAAATACGGTCGTCAGGTCAGTTTTGTTTTAGATATGGTTCGAGTAACTTTCGAGATGAAGATGAATTTATGTTAGAGTGTTCTGTGCATTTTTGTTTTAATTTCTTCGGGTATTGTAGCAAAACATTTTCAAAACCATTTTTTTCGTTGCAAGTTCATTGAAATTATAATTTCCCAAATGTAGATCGCATTAATGGATATCCATTGGAAGTTGACGTGAATCAGCAAAAAATCGATCAGTTTTCCTTTTACTCGGAGACCGAATCATTGAGCTCTGAGTTGGGATGCTATGACATGTAAGTTATCGTGTAATTTAGTTGATCATAACTGAAAAAATAGGAACCAAAGTCGATTGTGGTTTGGTGTTTTCACATGAAATAGTGAAACATAATTCACCTTCCGCACGAAAATATTGTTTGTGGTAAAAATGCATGGTTAAAATTTGAATGTCAATTTTCGAACTTTCACAGATTACACAATGAAATAGAGCAATTAAATGCGTATTTAAGGCCAACAGTCACAGAGAATCGATTGCGAGACAGCGTTTTGACGGGTATCAAGTCAGTGATGTTAGATATTTGGCCCAGTGCACGTTTCGAATTATTTGGCAGCTATGGTACTAGACTTTATTTACCAAAAAGTCGTTGTGCTGGAGGTTTCCGATCCCACGCCACGTCATACATTGAAGAAAACTTTCCTGGCCAGAAATATTGCCGAACCGAATACAATTTCATTTGTCGATAAAACGGCATGGCCAATCTTCAAGTTTACCGAACGTGAATGTAAAATAAAATTCGATGTTACATTTAATGAAGATGATGGGCGGAAGAAATGGAATTCAATTCATGAATATTTACAGAAATATCCAATTTTACGGACACTAATTAGGACGTTGAAAGTATTTTTAGGTCAATAAAAGCTGAACAACACATTTAAAGGTATACCAACCAATAAATTTCTATTGTGTACGAATCCCGATATTTGTTTTTAAATGTTGTTTTGTTGTTGGTTTATGATATATCATAATATATGTTTTTTTTATTCATAGATGGTGTTTCATCGTACGTCATAAGTTTAATATGTATCAGCTTCGTTCAATTGCATCTCCATCACCGCAAAGTCAACGAAAACGCAAACCTAGGCGTACTACTTGAAGATTTTTTAGATTTTTATGGCCGGAAATTTAATTACAATGATACGTGCATCAGCAATTTGAACAATGGCCAATATTTTCCAAAGACAAAACGGCAAAATTTCACATTTGAAAAAAAACCGTTGGATTTGTTATGCATTGAAGATCCAACAACACCTGGTAACAATGCATATTTATCACCACACGGCATATCGAAAGTGAAACAAACATTCAAACTCAATGATACGAAACTTTCTTAGTTCTTAAAACATACCAAAGAGGGCGCCAACAGCTGTACATAGAAAGTTCCATAAGAAAGCGCCCTCTTTGTCAAATATCTTGTTGTTGGTCAAGAAAAAGTATGTATAGTTTCCTGTTGTTGTTCAAACTTGCATACAATAAACTTAGGACGGTTACACCATCCGTTAACAAAAATGGAAGTGGCAAAAATGGAAGTGCAGTCAATAGCATATACTTAGATCAGTCGTTCACATTACTGACGACATCGTAAAATTCCGAAATCTGATCGAGGATAAATTCAGTACTACCATACACTCAAAGTCAACTAACGATCCACTAATGCCATTTCATGAATTGCGAGGAACCAATATGAACATCGGAGCCCAGCGCTCCTGATCAAAGAACATTTAAACTGAGTTTACTGCGAACAACATCTCTTTTACGCTATCAGCAATTCGTACACGAACGAGCCAGTGTGACAGTTGGTGTAAGAGAGACAAAGCAAACAATTTGGCTACGTCAGTTTAAATGTTCTTT